TTTTTTTGTATGACTCGAAACTTATAACAGAACATAGAACATGTGATATTTAAACAATTAAGACATGTATCTTTTAGTTTTTCAAGCCACCTAGTGTTGGATATTACTTTAATAAATTAAACTATAGTATAACAAAGTCTAATCCATCAAGCGTTGAAACTTTAAAAGTTAATCAAAAACTCTAATAAATGATAATAACGTATTTCTTATATAAATTACCCAGGTATCTTACAACCAAGAGGTATCCAGAGGGTCTTATATGTAAAAGGTTACAGACCCGTGTCTATTATATTAGAGATCTGTAATGGTGATTTATATTAGAAATACGTAATAATCCTAAATGTCCGAAGTAGGGATGAAGACTTTACAGTCTAGACCTGTCGTGGCGTCCCTGTATTTTTGTTGTCAAAATTTGGAATACTTCATTATCAAAGACATTGGATATTCCTGAAATTGCATACAGTATACTCCGAAAGTATGTCAACATTACAAGAATAAAAAATAGTAACCTAGCTTTATTTGTACCAAGAACACAAACACGTGCAATAAAAAGAATAAAAAAAAAAAAAACGCTATTTCTAGGGATGGCAAGTGTTTTAAAACAATGTTTTTATATTTCTTTAAAAAGATTTATTTGTTTATACACATATATATATGAAAAAACGATTGCGTGTTTTTGTAATGGTGACAGTGATCTTATGTAAGTCGTGGCTGATGGGTTGAATTAGTTGATTTTGTTTCAGCCACCACGATTACTAATGGTTTGACCCATTTTTTTAAAAGTTAATAAAAAAAAACTTTACAATTAAATTTTATATAACATTTATATGAATAGCCAATAAAATTAAGATAAAAATATTATATATACGTCAATAATATACAAATACATGTAAATGTACAAATATATGTAAATATATAGTATGGTAAATAGTATGACATATAAAAATTCAAATATATATCATGTATTTTTAATAGTCTTCGACAAAAATTCTTCAATAGTTTCAAAGAATCCAGGTTGATGGAAAGCATTAGCATGTTTGCCATTTGGAAATTCCAACCATTGTTTGATTCCTTTTGTTGTAGCCAATTCGTATAAAGTTTTCATATGTTCTTGCGGTACTACTTTGTCGCAACAACTTGAAAGAAATAAGATTGGAGTTTGCTTGATTTCACATATTGACAGTTCCGATGACCATATTTGGGTACAGAAAACGGTAAGGTAACGAATTGGATAAAAATACGTCGGAAGAAGCTTAGGCTTAAAGTAACATTGATAACGAATGATTTATTATATAAGGTTTTTTTTTTTAAAGAAGAATTAATACAAATACAGTATAATTTTACTTACAATACTAAGAAATGTGTTTTCTACTATCAAGGCATCAATCTATTTTGTTTATTAAGAAATGAAATTTCAATTTAATTAATTTGATCAAAATACGTAATACAACATTTGGGGATGGTACCTTGTCTTCATTCTTTGAAACCAAATCAATACCCACTGCTCCACCTAGTGACCGTCCATAAACGATTAGTTTCGTGTCCCTTAGCACGGTATGTTTTTTTATGTAGTCTAAGAAGGTCTAATTATATTATTAAAAAAGGAAATTTTAGATTCAATTAGATTCAACGGGCACATATGGTATTAACCATATATATATATAGTGCGGGACAGCATAACTGACGACTCAAATTAGTTTTTTTAAAACAATTAACTAGTAATTCAAATTTCATTTAATTAAAAAAGTATTTTAGCAAAAATATTTTGTATCAATATAGCTACAGTTTGGCTAAATTAAAATTTCAAATTATTATACTGTATTTATTAAAGATGTTTTATCCAATTGTTTTGTGTAATATATAGGCAGCGTTTATATAAAGGGTGTTAATTTATGCTGTCCCGCACTGTATATATTTCTTACCTGTGCATCAATCTTGATGCCTGCTTCAGTAGATTTACCTTCGCTACGATCGTATCTACAAATAAATATTAAGAGAATGAAAAAATTTGCTTGAATAATAACACAAATCGTAAGAAAAATGTTTATTTTTACCCTCTGTAAGAAGGTAAAACAACATTGCATTTTAATTCATGGTAAAATTTAGAAATGGCTTTAGATTGATAACCCTATTAACATTAATGATGATAAAATTTTACGATTAATTTATACATGTCTCAAAAGTTCTATCATATCACGTAAAGATACTAAACTGTATTTCCACGATTTCCCTATAAAATTACAGATGAATTTAATTAATAATACATCAGTAAGATTAGTAATGTTAAACTTTACGTACATGCAAAACTAATATTGTTGGTCTTTTTCGAGCTTCTTCCTCATTAATAGGTTTGCAAACATATGTTCGAATTTTAACATTGTCATCGGTTATCAATGTAGCTTCCCTGAATGGAATTCCGTCTTCCGAAATCAGAGGAGCCACCTAATTAAAAACTTCATAAATCAGTGATTCCATTTAAAAGTATTCAATTATTTTAAAATTTACTCCATGATGAGCTTCTTTCCTATGTTTCGCTGGATAAACTAAATTCGATTGAATTTCATGAAGCAACGCTCCTGTAGTGAACGTAGCTGCTGCTGCGATAATGGCGAAAGTGAATGGTTCCATTTTCTCGCGTTTATCAATATATATATATATATATATATATATATATATATACTTTTTTATTTATTGTTACATTAAATATTTATCGTTATCTAAAATACCGAATTAATAAGGTGTGTATTGCATCATTATTATCTATGATCTCACGATATCATTAACATGGTTATATTAATCAAGCCTATTGCCTGAATTTAAATTTGTGACAAACTTGATTCAAACTTGTGATGAATGGACTAATTAAACTTATAAAGACTTGTATCAGGGCATGGGAATCTGCTTTTTAAATTGATTTGTAAATTTAAAATTGCGTGATCTAAAAAGGTGACTGAAACTGCCAATCAGATGTTCATATTTTGCCATTGAATCCAAGAGAAAATACTCAACAATTAAATCGACCTTGGTACACCAATTAAAGATAATTTATCCTGTAGCTCCTAACATCATAACTTTTTACCTCCACTCAATTTATTTTTGTATTAAAATTTTTAGTTTGTATTGCTTATGCAAAGAAATAAATCCCTTATAATCTAACTTCTACGTTTTCCAGCACACTGTACTCCATGAGACATGTCATGTCTCGCATCTAATAAGCAACTATATATACGAAAAAATTAATTCAGCCTGATTCAACTATGCATATGTATTTAAACTATATAATGTTCTATATACGTCAAAAGTGCCATGGCGTAATTTTAGGTAGTTGACCTGCATTAACTTAATTTAGGCTGACATACAATAATAAGTTAGTACATGAAGATCGTTAATTTTAGGCGAAGTGAATTCAATATATAATCTACATACTGCATATCCCTAACTGCATCGAAAGGGTAACCCTAAACTTCGCTCCGCTATATCCGACCCGCTTTATTGGCAATTTGATGTTTCACAAATTTCATGCGATCTATACGCAATATTGCTTATTTTTTAAAGTATCTTTCTTGATACATAAAACTTTTTAGTATAAATATTGAAAAGTCTGTGTGCCACCCCGGGTGGTATACCACCCCGTCTAAATTAAATAGTAATTTGATGACGCACATCACCTTAGGGTTAGGGTCAGTCAGTCAATTTAGTATTTAATTTAGATAGGGTGGCAATAAATTATTTACTACCCTGGGTGGCACCAAGACGGCTCCTATAAATATTTAATACGTATTTGATCGTCTTTAACAATAGACTGACATATATAATACTGCATTAAAAATTATAATATAATGTGAATCAAGAACGACACTTATGAATGGCCGGCATTTACTGGTTTAAATTCGCTTATCGTTATTAAATAAATGTTGTATTTATACATAGCGATAGCAACAAAACTTCGAATTGTCCAAAAATAAACTACTATCCGATTACAAAGATGAACAATAATACGTAATAATTACGTATAACAATTAACATACTATATAGCATAAATTAGTCAGTGTTACTATAAGAAATTTTGTTTGCTTATATCAACTTTATATTGTAAACGTTTCATATATATATCGCTGATATTTAGAATTTATCGATATAAACCAAATAAATTTTTAGTTCTATCGCATGTAAATTACATCTATTGGTGGTATTATGGTGGTTTAAACACGGATTACATTTCTATACTGATATATAGTTGTAAATAAACCATAGACTAAACGAGATTTAAAAGCTAATAAATGAAAATACTGATGTAAGTAAAAAAAGACGAATAACGAACCAAAATTATAATTAGAAGAAAGCAAGGTAGACATAATAAAAAAAAGTCTCCTAAAATTATCTTCTAATCCTTTGTATCAGCATTTTACATTCAAAAGATTTTGCTAAAAAATTTTTGCTGTTAAATTTGAGTCAATATTATATTAGGTTAGAAAGGACTTTATTAATGCAAATCAGATATTAAAGATATTTTTAAGATAGAAATGCTAAGACGATTAACAAAACTCCCAATGGGCAGGCACGAGAATTATTTATATAAAGTTTCGATCTATATAATAATCGGCGCTACCCTTTATTCTTGTGCTATATAATGCTATAGTGGATATTTATTATAGTGGATAGAATTTTCTAGCCCAATCAATTCGCTATAACGAGAATATATATCGTGGGTACTGATAATTTTGTGTGACTTCAAAATAAGTGTAGAAATAATTTCTAAAAGAGTACATTATTTTAAAAGTTACTTTTATAATGGCTAGAAATGAACGAGTTTCTACGTACGTACGTACTGGCATTAATCTAGGTACCACTATGGCATTGGCTAATTATAGTTATGACTTTGACTTTATTATGACCACCTTGGTATAAAGCAACGAATGCAGAACTGTTTTTACACACGCACAAAATCAATAATTACGCAAGTTGATGTTGCATAATTTGTTCGTTTACTAATCATTTAAGCAAAGCATCTGAACAGAAATTTACCCTATAGAAGATTCATACAATGATATTATTTTACAAAATGCATTGGGTATTGAAGATAATTCACCATTTGGTAAAGATGAAAAGAGATTAGATTGTGCAACATCTCAATTTTATGAATTTAATGAATATTAATCGTTGGTAATTTAATTAAAGGTCTTGATGATAAAGCTGTTATAGTTCGAGCAAATTATCCAATTCCTTCACAATGTGAGATATTTTATTTTGAAATTAAAAACATTGATAAAGGAAAAAATGGGTAATAGTAATAATTATTTTATGTTATAAACATTACCATTCTGCTTCTGCTTGTAATTTTTTTTATAATCGTTAACTCAATTTATTAATAGAATGATTATTGCACTAATACCCTGACCTCATACAAAGCAAAGCAAAAAAATAGACTCTGATTATATAAATAACATGCTCATGCTTGGTAATACAGATATTTATTTTATTTTTTCTTATTATTGTAGATTAACATCTATAAATAAAATCCTTTAGGACAGGAATATAAGAATAATAAGGATGATAAGGAAAATGAATCGTGGGAATGTGGTTACCATGGTGACGATGGATATTCTTTTTATCCTGGAGGTGTCGACCATCATATACTACTGGTGATACAGTCGGATGTTATTTAAATTTTAAAAATAAGATGGTATTTTATACTAAAAATGGAGTCAATTTAGGTAATTAACACTTTAGAAATTAAAGTTTATATTTTCGAAGTAAATTAGGTAGTAATTAGATACAAATTTAATATATATTTATAACACATTTAAAGGCATTGCATGCTATCTACCTGACAAATTTAAAGGCATTTTATATCCTTGCGTTGGATTTAGATCGCAAGGCGAGTCGATAGAAGTGAACTTTGGCCATGAAACTTTTAAATATTTTGGTAAATTTATTAAAAGAGTTTGATTATTTTCGCTTATCAAGAATTTTCTTATCAATACATCTACTTTTTTAATTAATAGCAATGAGTAATGAAGATATTAACAATAAACCAGATAATGCAATAGCATTGGTGTATCAAAAAAAGATTTATTTCATCATAGGCGGATATGAGAAAATACTTGTTTAACAAATGAATTAACCAAATCATTAGAAACAAAGCAAAATCATACGTATTAATTAAGCTATAGAGGAAAATTATGTTTTATTATGGACAAATATGATAATGCATTGGAAAATTTCACTAGATTGTTAGAAATTGAACCAGATAATACAATGGCACGAAGATATCGAGGAGAGATTAATTACATAATGAAAAGATATAATGAATCAATTGCTGACTTGGAGAAACTATTGGCTAATAAATCGAATGATATATTGGCAATAGAGGCCCTTAAATCAGTTAAAGAGTCGTAAGTGTAAAATGAGCTTATAAATTTAGCGCTTAAAAAGCTTAAAGACAGATAGATACTAAATATAAATAACAATCACATACTTGTCACTATAGCTCGTAAGTTCAGCGATAGAATTTTTTTACATACAGTAAATTACGGTAGAAAACACAAGAATTCGAATATAAACTAACCCTACAAATGATCTAAACCATATACTGCGTGTCACAATAGTCTGTAAGTTTTATAACAGAATTGTTTCTGCATACAGTAAATCACGGTAGAAATCACGAGAATTCGAATACAAACTAGCCCTACAAATAGTCTATAGCGAGTAAGTTTTGTAACAGGATTTTTTTATATACAGTAAATCACGGTAGAAATCACGACAGAAAAAAACTCCAGGAACACGAAGTTGAAGATTCATTCTAAAAGATCTTCATAAACGCCGGAAGCAACGTGAAACGGGGAAGAAGACAAACTAATAAAAAAAAAAAAAAATCAGTATACTAAATAGTATAAAGAAAAGAGAATATAAAAAAATATAATCACCGGGATGCATCACACTGGCGATAAATTATAATTCTTTAATTTTTTTAAAGTTTTTATTTTTAATAATAAATAATTGTGTAATGAATGTTTCGAAACACCTAATTTTACTGTAATTGCTAACTACACTAGCTATTCTCAAACCTTGATATTGTCGTCGCGTAATGAACATTTTGTGATCACAGTAATAAAGATATAAAAGCAACGGAACTAATAACAACGTAATCTTTCACCAAAAGCGATGGCTCTATTAACTACAAAATCAAAACATCAAAATCAATATAACGGAATAATATCAACGACACTAAAAAACGATGAAACAAACTACAAACAATACGCATCGTTGACGAATAAACCATTCTAAATGCCATCAGAAAAACTTCGTTACGTTAATTAATTAAAATAAGATAAAAAGTTTTTTGTAGCTGATTCGAGGACAGACTACAGTTTGAGATGAGCTGTAATCTGCTACTTTATCAGCGATTTGATATGGTTCGTTTGCGCATTGAACACCAAGAATCTAGTGTAAAAAAAATGTAAAGGAAAATCAGTCTATATATCTAAAAAGGAATATAAAACAATGAGCCGTTGGCCCCCAGTTGTAGGAAAAAAAAAAAACCTCAAGAATACAACAAAAAAAACCTTTTAAAATAAATGGAATAAAGGCGCAGGCCAAATATTCCAACAATATATTAGCCAACACGATCACCAATATATTGTTCAAGAAGCGAAAATAAATAAAAAATCCACCACCTGCTTTAGCCAAAGCAAGGACGCTAAAAGCAAAGGCCAATGCAGGTTAGAAAAAAAAAAAAAAAGGACTTGGTGCAAATTTTTTCGCAAACGATAAAGTCTGAATACTGTAAGATCCAGGGTTTTTAAATTGATGATCCATAACTCGTGTCAATCAATTCACAATACCTTGTGTCACTCACTCCGAACCAAAAAAGGGGTTCGTCTAAAGCCGTGTCTATCACGTGACCTAAAACCAATAGAATTGTTTATGTTGATCGACACGGATCAGCCCGAAGAGACAAAAACAGCGAAAAAAAAGTGAAAATTGCAAAACGATAGTCTAAACCCATCTTGGTGCATTAATAAAAAATGTCGGGAGGACAATTTTACTATAAGACATGCCCTGACCCTAACATTATCAACCCGTCCAAAATGCCTAATCTATCCTAAAACACACGAGTATTTTAACAAATGATAAAAGTACTTC